AATGGGGGAGGAGGAGAGGGGTGGGGGCAGGGGTTCTTCAACTGGTGTCGTGGATGGAATGCTTGAGAGGAAAGGCGAAGATGCGGGCGATTCTGAGCTCGTGGCCTCTACAGCCGCGCTCTCCGAGGCCTCTGGTCTCCCCCCGGCCTTGTCCTTGTCCTCCTTGCCCGTCGAGGGAAAGGAGAAGAGGCGGCCGAGGGAGGCAGGCTTAAGGGTCCTTCGCCGGGAGGAGGAGGGCGTGGTGCTGGTGCCGCGGGGCGTTAGGGCATGCGAGAAAGGAGGGAGGAGGGCGCTTGACGTCAGGGCTTTGGAGGCATTGAGGGACGCGCCCCTGGGGGCTATGGGTACGTGGGATGGCTGGGGAAGGGTTCTTTGTGACGGGGTACCGCCACGTTTTCTTACGCCACTCGTATTGGGGTCTGTCAGATTCACGCTTTATCGTGCGCTCATTCTCACACGCTTCTTCTGCATACTCTGCGGACAGTGGGGCAGTGGGAGGATGTGGAGTCTCACGAGCAAGGGGGGGCAGGAGAGGTTGCTTACGCTCAGGCAGCCCGCGACAGGGTTTTGGTGCAGGCGGAACGTACGGAAAGAGACGAGAAGGAGAAAAGAAAGCTTAGCGAATTCGCTGCCGCTGCCATTGCGGGACGTAAGAAGAGAGTTCGGGGTGCTCGCGGCGTCTCGAATAGGGATGAGGACGAGAGGGGGGGCAAACCCAACCCTTTCGACCTGCGCCAGCAAGAGCTACAGAAGCAGCCTAGACAGCTTAATTCCTTACAAGGAAATGGTGTTGGCATGAATGGACGCCATGTTTGCAGCCGTGTGCGGGGGAAGCCAGCACAAATGGGAAACAAAAAGTAAAAAAATCGTCTGAGACTTCAACAATAGTTCTTGCAAATTGCCCGCACCTCCACAAGGTCCCAGCTTCGTACAATTTTCACGGCCTTCTTATAACATTTTTCTGAGTCAACACACGTTATTGAGCCTCTCTGCATCGGCACATACTTTTCGGGACGTGAAGTCGAAGGCGTTCAGCGTGACATACGTTGCACTGCGGGAGCGAGGGTTGGAGGCCGTGTAGCTAGGAAGTTTTCCCGCGCCTCACCCGAGCATGTAAGATCTCGCCTAACGCTACGACTCCCTTCTCCCCTGCCCTTCGCTACATCAAGAATCACACCGAAAGCACCTGGCAAGGTCACAGGACAAATATGGCTGTGTGAGCGTCCCGTCGGGAAGCAGTACCTGAAATTGCACGCCTCCAACTCGCACCCCGTGCCCTGGCTCGATTCCTCTAGCTCTCCTCCAAATCCATCACACGCATGGCAGCAGACGGCGCTGAGGCTGCCACCATCATATTGCGGAGCCTGCCAGGGCGTGAGCGTACTTCCTTGATACCCTCTCCGACGCGCAAACGCAAAGGAACTCACTCCTCGACACGAGTGCCGTACACGGGCACCGCTTCTTTCCCCTCCTCCTCCTCTCCCTCCTCCCCCTCCTCCTCCCCCTCCACGGCTGTGGCCGCTTCCTTCTCATCCTCATCTTCGCAAGGCAGTGATCAGAGCGTTATAAGCAGTAGCCGGAGCGCCAGCGGAAGCTGCACCAGCTGCAGCAGTGGCAGTGGAGGGGAGGAGGAGGAAGAGCACCAGGGCGATGCTTCCTTCCCGCCCCATCACGAAACAAGAGCAGGGCCTACGGTGCCAAGGGCGACGCAGCCAAATGCCTGCATCCCGTCAGGCACATCGCGATCGCGGAAAAGTACGTCGGTGCCGATGGAAGCGCCAACGATGGAAGCGCAAGGACTGGCGAGGGTGGAGGTGAAGGAGGAGCATCGCAACGGTTCCACGGACGGGGAGGCAAGAGATAATGGGGGTGTTCGCGTCAGATCTGTTCGTCGTAGCCAGACAAGAGGCAT